TCTGTTGTGTCCTCTCCCTCATCTAAAATTACTTCTGTCCAAAATGATCAATTTGTCTCTAAGCTTACAGAATTTGTTTGACTTGTAATCACACATTGCCCCGTGACATCTCACGCTGTTCGTTCGTTCATTAATTTATCTGTACATTCATTAATCCACTCAGAAGTCATCTTGTGAAGCACATACACAATGCTAAGTGCTGGGGAACCTGAGACTATCAAGGCAAGTTCCCTCCCCCACTGCTGAATGTGGAAAACTTACACGTAAACATGTATTTGATTCCACATGGTAAGCACAATTATATGACTTTATGGAACCGAGGAGGAGGGACCTAATCCAACCACAGAGGAGGGGTTAGGGAGGACTTCATGGAGGTAGCAGTTGCCTGAGCTGAGTCTTAAAGGAGTTAGCCAGATGAAGTGAGAGTAATGGGCATGACATAGGGGAAAAAACATTTCGTGAGCGGAAACAAGGTGAGCAAAGCTGTGGAGGCTGGAAACAAGGTTGTATGGGGAACTGTTAGCAGTTCACTGCCTACAAGGCAGAGAGGCGTTGGAGATGAGGGGGCCAGATCATGGGATCCTTGAAGGTCATGCTGAGAATCTTGAATTGGACACTTCAGACAATCAGGAACATTGAAGATTTTAAACAGAGGTGTGCCCTGGTCAGATTTACATTTTTGAGAAACTAGGCCAGAGTGGAGGCTGGTTTTTGAGGGGTACAAGCCTAGAGGCTGGGTGATCAGTTAAGGAAATGTGGCAGTAAATCAGGTGAATGATGATAAGGGCTGAAAATAAGTTCTTGGTCATAAAGATGGAGAGGAGGGAATAAATTGGAGACAGAACCAGCAGGACTTGGTTAATCAATAGGTCACGGGAGGTAAAAGAGAGGGAGAAACTGAGGATGACTTCCTGCTTTCTAGGTGTTTAGATATGGTGGTGGTGTGACCAAATATTTCTGAGAAAACCAGATGGATGTGTCCAATAGGCAGTTGGATTTTGAAGCTCAAGGGAGAGATCTGAATTGGAAAAATACATTTGGGAGTCATCAGCACAGAAGAGGTATTTAAAATCATGAAATTGGGCAAGTTTTCTCCAGGAGAGAATATGGATGAGGAAGAGCCCTGAACGAAGGATAGAATCCTGGGGAACACTCATGTCTTAATGGGGCTGGAAGAAAGCCCATGAAGGAGACAATGAAATGATATCAGAAAAGTATAAGGAGAATCTGGAGTGTTTGGTGCATAGGAAATTGAATTGAAGGAGGAAGAAATCAGCATTGTCAAGATGCAGTAGAGATTTCATGAAAAATGGTAATTGGATTTGGCAATAAGAAAATCAGGTAAAGAGGAGCAGGAGGGTAGAGTTGGAAACCAAACTGCACAATGGGTTAAGGTGTGAATGGGAAGTTAAGAAGTGAAGTCAATCATTATACATAGCTTGCTTTTTCAGAAATATGAAGTGAAGAAGGTGAAGATAGAGCTTAGGCCGGCAGGTCTCCCCAACTCAAATGATCTCAAGCATCTTGAGAGAAAAGTCTAGCAATGTACCATGTGTACATTTATATTCAATAAACATTAATTAGATAAACAGATCTAATCAAATATCAATACCAAATCTTTAGGTTGTTACTTAGCCTTTCTTCCTCTTGTGTGTCATGACATTCCTTTTCTTTAACCAAATTTTTTCCTTTAAATTATTTCCTTCCAGTTTATTTAATGCCAGAAAATGTTTAGGTCCTGAGAAGCTTCCCACAGAAATCTCCATGTCCCATTTTGAGAAATTAGGCTCAAGCTGTTTCCTGCTTGGGTCATTAAAAAAATATTAATAATAGCTGTTATTTGCATAGTAATCAGAATTCCACTAAGAAATGCTGTGTACATTAAATCTAAGTCATGTTATTGTTATAATCACTAGTATTAGAATAACAAGGTTGTGACGTTGTTCATCTCTAAAAAATTTAATATTGTTTAGCAAAGTTATAATAAATGAGAGGCTGGACTTTCAGAAACCAAAGGTTGAACTATGCCCCCTGTGGGTGCTCCTTAAATAGTTACTGAATGACTCATCAGTTATTTCATAGGCCCTAATACAGGTGAGATGATGGCCAGATCAGGCAGAGTTGAAGAAGTAAACTCACACAGAGGACTGACTTAAAGGATTCTCAGGGAAATGTCAGTGGATGATTGACATTGACACCATGTGTAAAAAACTGCGTTTCACACATTCTAAAATCCCTTACAAATCTGAAAGGAAAAATTATAATTATCAAGACAATAAAGTAAGATCCAGTGCTCCCATTTCTGGGTATATATCCAAAGAAAATGAAACCATTGTCTCGAAGAGATATCTGTACTCTCATGTTCATTACAGGTTTATTCAAAATTGCTTACGTATGGAAACAACCTAAGTGTTTGTCGATGGATAAATGGACAAAGATGTGGTATAATTTAGACATGAGAAAGACCAAAATCGTGCTGTTTGCTACAAAATGGATGGGCCTTGAAGGCATTACGCTAAGTGAAATAAGCCAGACAAAGGAAGACAAATACTGCATGGTATCACTTACATGTGGAATAAATTTTAAAAAAAGTCGAATTCATGAAAACAGAGAGTAGAAAAGTGGGTGCCAAGGGCTGGGAGGTGGGAGAAATAGGGAGAGGTTGGTAAAAGTGTACAAACTTTCAAATATAAGATGAATAAGGTCTGAGGATCTAATGTAAAACATGGTGACTACAGTTGATAACACTGTATTGTATAATTGAAACTTGCTGGGCCGGCCCTGTGGCTTGCTGGTTAAGTGCGCGCGCTGCAATGCTGGTGGCCCGGGTTCGGATCCCGGGTGCGCATCGAGGCACCACTTCTCTGTTCATCCTGAGGCCGAGTCCCACATACAGCAACTAGAAGGATGTGCAGCTATGACATACAACTATCTACTGGGGCTTTGGGGGGAAAAAATAAAATAAATAAAATCTTTAAAAAAAAAAAAAAAAAAAAAAGAAACTTGCTAAGAGAGTTGAACTTCAATGTTCTCACCAAGGGGGGAAAACAGGTAAGTATGTGACATGATAGAGGTGTTAATTAATTCAATGAGGGGAATACTTTCACAATGTATATGTATATCAAATGACCATGCTGTACACTTTAAATATCTTACAATTTTATTTGTCAATTACAACTCAATAAAGTTGAAAAAGAGAAGACAATAAAGTAAAAAAAATTGTCTTATATGGTGATTGTTTCTGATTATGAGTTTGCTAGAAATTTGTTCTGGGCAAGAGGTGGAGTCTAAAGGACTAGAGCTTCCATCCTGGGATCAAGGACACTTTTAAGCTCTCCCAGGTGACAGCCTGTTGCATCAGGGTGAAATCTAGAGCTGATTCATGTTCAGAGTTCCTCCTTCTGCGATTTTAGACTTTATTCATTTAGTTTCCTCTTTTTCACATTGTGTGTTTCATAAGTGATGGTATTATGATGGTATTCATTCAGGTATTAATAGTGTGGCCATATGAAAAATATTCATTTTTCAAACATGTACGCAGAAGCTCCTTGTTAAGATCTCTGGGAGTCACAGGCATGTTTTGAGACATCATTCCTGCTCAAGGAGTTTAAAGAGATTACAATTCAGTGGTAGAAACACAACTTAGAAAATGCCATAAAAAATTACCTACCAAGTTCCAGGGGGTGCCCCTCCACGTACAGGGACTGGGCTTTATACATTTTTATATGTCTAATGTCAAGCTCAGTTTGGCATAGAGTAGGTTTATTGAATTGCAATTTATTTAGAAACTGGAACAGGGTGAAGAGGAAACCAGGAAGATCACACAGAAGAGGTAGCTAGTGAGGTGGGTCTGGCCCTAGACGGTTAAGTAGGATCTGTCTACAGGCATAATAAAAAAGAACTTTGCAAGTAAAGAGAGAAATTGTATTAGTATGTACATCTGGCATATTGTAGCTATTAGAATCGAGCTTCTCAGGCCCACCAGGACCTCAGATGGTTGATGACTTTTTTACTACATGTCAGTCTGCTTGCAGTGATGGACAGAGCATAGGCCATGGGCTTTGAAGTAAGAAACACCTGAGTTCTGAGTCTCACCTCTTACCATACCATGTGATTTTGAATAACATATATAAACTTTCTATGCCTATTTTTCTCAGTTAGAAAATAGGAGTAATACCTATTTTGGGCCTACCATATCCCAAGCTACTTTATTAAATGATGGCTTTTTTAAAAAAAGACTTATTTGAAAAAACAAAGATTTGAACTTTTAATGTGTAAGATGTTTCAGAGCTTTCTAGTTTCACCTTAAAATTTCTCTTAAAAAAGAAAGGCTGATAGACTAGTCCCATGGCTGGGAATCAGAGGACCCGGCTCTGTCACCGTCCAGCTCCCAGTCCTTGCTCACATCATCTCACCTCTCGGGCCTGTTTCCTGCTAGAAAAAGAGAGGGTGGTCTCCACCTACTGTCCCTACAGTAGCCACTGGCCACATTTGACTATGAAATGTGGCTGATTCGTATAAAATACACACCAGATTTCAAGTATAAAAATAAAAAAAGGTAAAATGTTTAATGAATAATTTAATATTGAGCATATTTTGAAATATTTTGCACATATTGGGTTAAATAAAATGTTATTAAAATGAACCTCACCTGTTTCTTTCGCTCTTTTGATGCGACTACTAGACAATGTAAATTACATACGCAGCCCTGGTCTCGATGATCCCTAATATCCCCTTCAGCTTTAAGACTCTGCCAGGGACACTGTGGACACGTAAACGCACGGTTTCATTTCCTTGCACTGAGATGACAAAGGACTGGCCGGAGTGAGCGCAGTGGGGCGCGGCCCTGCAGGAACACAGACCCTTCAGGCTTTTGCTGGCGCTCCGGGGCGGGAAGGATCTCGACTCCCGCGCGGGGGCGGAAGCGGGGGCGGTGGCAGGGCGGGGCCGAGGCGGGAAGTGGATTCGTGCGTCAGCTCCGCGCGCGGGGAAGGAAGCCGGCCCCAGGTCCCCGCCGGCGCGGGCGCCTTGGCACGTCCGCAGGCTCTGCCGGGCGGTGGCGGCCGCCGGGTCGCGAGGTGGGGCGGGGTGGGGCGCGCCGGGGGCCGCCCGCGCGGGCTTCATCTGCGGTCGCGCGGCCTGTGCCTCAGTGCCGGGGACGCCGAGGCGCGGGGCGACGAGCTGCCGGAGTGGCTATGGACCGCCGCTGGGGCCTCCTGATCGGCTTTCTGGGCGCCGTGTGGCCGCTGGGCTCGGGCCATGGCGGGCGGCAGCCCCCGGAGACGGCGGCGCAGAGGTGCTTCTGCCAGGTGAGGGGTGTGCGCGGCGTGCTGCCCGTCCCGGTGCTCCCCGCCTCCGCCGTGCGCTCCGTCCTGTGCGCCCCGGCAGGTGAGCGGCGGGGGCATGCATTTTTGCGTCTCCAGCCGCTCAGAGTGGAGTGCTTCTGCTCCCCGGCCGGGGCTGAGTCCTCTGCCGCTCGCCTGGTTGGTGTGGGCCGGTCTCCCACCGCAGCTTGGACCTTGGCGCGCGCTTCGGATCAGGCGTGGGGCAAGAGGTGTGGGTGCACGCTGTATCTTTTTACCGACTGGGTTTATGCACCTTTGTCGGTCTTCCCTGACCGGGGAGGGTATGCACTGTGTGCACGCACACTCAGTATTTGTTATTTTCGCAATACCTGGATCTTTATAACTTCTAACGTGACCTGGAACTGTGTATGTTGTGCTTGTGCTGGGTGCCTTTGCCAGCCTTTCTGGCCAGGACAGGCTTTTGTCGGGGGGCTGCTCTCAGATCTCGTTGTCAGGCAGGAGAGTGGCTTTGTGTGACTTGCTTGTGTCCAAGCCTAACTGCCTGGTGTCTTTGGGGCCGCGGCTGCCCTTTGTGTCTTTTCTGTCGAGTGTGGTGGGATTCTCGTACCGTGACACCCGTATAGCTGGTCTGAATTGGGAGGATGGTCCTTACTCCTCAGGGTACAAGTTTGACTACAAGTGTACTATGATCACTTCCTTCTGTTAGTAAGAGATGTGGGTTCCTTGAGCAAAAAATTCAAAGAAACTTACAGGTTTCTGGATCTACAATATCTCGTGTTTCAATATCATTACTCTTAAAGTCGCCTTTTGGTTGGCTTCTGTTAATAAAAATTACGTTTTATACAAAATTGAGAGTGGGTATCCGAATCGTTCCTTTTAACTGGATTTTCCTATGAAGTTATTATCAGAAATAACATTTTATGTGTGTAGGGGCAATGATACTATTTCACAGAGAAAAGAGACATTTTATTATGAGAGGAAGAGATGTGTTGCACTGGTTTATATTCTTCAATTTTGTTGTTTGCTGAGAGTTTTGGGAGTTGAGGTGTTATTTGGGAACATGTAAGAGAGTTGAAAGGAAATTGCTGCTTTGCAACTAAGAGATTGAAAAGCTCCTTTACCTTCAGTGGTTGCAAACAGCACGCAATCAACGACTTAAAAGGGAAAAGGTCATTTTTATTCTGATTACAAATATAATGTAACGCAAAGTTCAAACATTTAAAACATAAGTAAAGTAGAGATAAATGCCTTTAAAATAAAGTATTTAGTGTTGAAAGAAGATATCCAGTGTAACATTTTCAACTACATTCTAGAGATTTGGATAATGGAATACAAGTACCTGTTGAGCTTTTCAACCTTCACTTTTTCCCCCCAAAGACCTTTTTATTTTTTATTTTTATTTATTTTTTGTGAAGAAGATCGGCCCTGAGCTAACATCTGCCAATCCTTCTCTTTTTGCTGAGGAAGAGTGGCCCTGGGCTAACATCCGTGCCCATCTTCCTCTACTTTATATGGGATGCCACCAGAGCATGGCTGGACAAGCGGTGGGTCGGTGTGCGACCAGGATCTGAGCAGGAGAACCCCAGCCCACCGCAGCAGAGCGCGCACTTAACCACTTGTGCCGCCCGGCTGGCCCCCCAAAACCCTTTTAGATATCTGATTAAAATTGGGGAGCTTTTTATTTTTTACATTTATTTTCTTTTTCTTTTGATTATTGTTTAAGTGTTTTTCACCTTTCATAATATTTTCAAGATTTGAATACTCCCTCAATACAAAAATCTCTTAGACCTCTTTCTTTTCCTTTTAGAACAAGAGTGGCTGTTTTTCTTTTCCGAGTCAACTTTTAAAAATAATAAATTCACATAGTAAAAAACAATTTTAAGAGAAATTTAAAATGATTTGCTTCAGAACAGAGACCATCAATTCTAATTCAATAAATGGAACAAAAGTATACTTTAGTTGTATTATGGTCAGTAATGGAAGGGATGGGGATAAGTGGAGAAGAGGGGAGAGAGGACAGTGATGAGTAGAAATGAAGAGAAAAACGGAGACAAGCGTAGAGACTGTGCACAAACACAGAACGAGAGAGAGAGAAAAGAAAAAAATGGAGAAAGAAAAGATAAAGGGAGATGAGTGGTGCAAATTATTTCTTCAACAAACATTTATAAACACTGTGTACATTGGTCTGAGTGTTTGGAATACATATGGCATGTTCCCTGCCCCGGAGAGCTTACAGTTTAGTAAATAATGTTTTTTGGGGCTTGGGAAGAGGAAAGGATCCTAAGCATTTAAAAAACAAGTTAGTAAATATTGCTAGAAACTAAATTAAAAACTAAATTTCACCTAAAGTTTGGAAACACAAGTTAAAATCTTTTCTGGTTCTGTTTGCAGTATCCCATTAGCTGCAGAGCCCTGTGGATTCTGTTTTGTTCGTATTGTGTCACTTTTCTCACCTCCTGTTCCCAGTCCCTCTTCCTGCTCTGTCCTGAGTTACCAAGTTACCCCTTGGTCACACTGTTGCATGGGTGCCTGGCTTATAGTGGGGGTTTAGTTAACAGAGTATCCACTCTGATTTGAGCCAGAACAGCACGTGGTTAGTTATTCCACCTTAGAAAATCATTGAAGTAAAATGTTCAAAGCTTTACAAATAATCAGATTAAATTCAACAAGTGTTTATTGAGGCCTACTGTGAACAAGTTTTGAGAGGTCAAAAAATGAATTAAAAAATAAAAAATTGGTTCCAATTCTTGACTCTCCAGAGTACTGACCCTGGTGCATAATTGTGCTTACGTATTATGGAAATTTCAATATAAGATGTGAGCAATATGCCAGCAGGAGTATATTCTTGTAATTATTCTCTTAGCAGGCCGTTTGCATGTTTTTCTGAACTCAGTCTTTCAGATGGGTTAACAGCTCCAAATGAATCTTTAAACTTAGTTACTACACATGCCTGTTAGTTGACATCAAATCCCTCTAGAATGATTTTTACTGGATGTTGTAAGTTCTCTTCATAATAGTGCTTCAGTGTTAGCTGCTCAAAATAAGTGATCAATTGTGTGGGACTTGTAAATCTTCCTTATATATGACCCCCTGCCCCATTTTATCATTCTGTGAAAAAAGATTAAAATTTTTTTGTACAGAAAATTGGCTTTTTTTCCTTTTGGTATACAAGCCTATGAAGTTTAACACATGTACAATTTGTGTAAACAATTCCATAATCAGGACTTACCCCTTTTTTAAACCAAAATAGTATTTGTAGTATTTGTTGTAGTAGATGTGGGCTTGAACTAAATGAAGACTTTTCTGAGTTTCTTATTTCTTTTTTTTTTTTTTTTTTTGTGAGGATGATCAGCCCTGAGCTAACATCCATACTAATCCTCCTCTTTTTTTTGCTGAGGAAGACCGGCTCTGAGCTAACATCTATTGCCAATCCTCCTCCTTTTTTCCCCAAAGCCCCAGTAGATAGTTGTATGTCATAGTTGCACATCCCTCTAGTTGCTGTATGTGGGACGCGGCCTCAGTCCGTCGGTGCGCGCCAGGGATCCGAACCCCGGGCCGCCAGTAGCGGAGCGGGAGCATTTAACCACTAAGCCACAGGGCCGGCCCCTCTTATTTCTTTTTGACAATTATTGCTCCATTATGTCATTAGAGAGAATGAATGTAACAGAACTTTAGTCCCAATTCATGGAATCCCAGGATGCATTTTAGAGAAATAACCTCAGAAGAGACAGTATGGACATCTTTTTTCGTTTAAATTAATTAAAAATGAGTTTGTAGGGGCTGGCCCAGTGGCGTAGTGGTTAAGTTCTCGCTCTCCGCTTTGGCGGCCTGGGGTTCACAGGTTTGGATCCCGAGCGTGGACCTACGCACTACTCATAAAGCCATGCTGTGGCGGTGTCCCATATAAAGTGGAGGAGGATGGGCACGGATGTTAGTCCAGGGCCAGTCTTCCTCAGCAAAAAGAGGAGGATTGGCATCAGATGTTAGCTGAGGGCTAATCTTCCTCACACACACACAAGAAATGAGTTTGTAAACACTTATGTACTCAAAATGTTTTATTAACCTTAATATGACTCGTGCTAACAACACTCAGCTCCACTTATCTAAGTGCAGTGAGTCTCCATCAGCTAGTGGAAGGGGTGTAGTGCATATAATCCACGATGGGGCTTCAAGAATGGATCATTGTTCACTTGGAGTGTGTTGTGGATATGCTCTGCGTACATGGTTTTAGCAGATTTACCTGTTATTGTCTTGTTTCGGTCAACTTAAAAAATAGTTTTTGTTTGTTAGTCCGAGTGGCTGGGCCATAGGAGAGACACTTGATAATATGCTGAGTGTTGGGTGGAAATAAGCCCAGGATTAAAACTTAGTCAGAGGAATCTTTGAAACAGGTTATACTGGTGAGATGTTGATCAACTCTGAGTGCTTGATGTATTCCAGGCTTTTTTGAACAAAGCATGTGGAACGAAGCATGTTTCACATTGGTTGCCATACTTTGGGTCATTTAACAACAATGTAAAGTTGTAGCAAGACCAAGACTTTAGAGCAGAAATAGCTCTTAGGGGCCGGCCCCGTGGCTTGGTGGTTAAGTGAGCGCGCTCCACTGCTGGCGACCCGGGTTCGGATCCCGGGCTCGCACCGACGCGCTGCTTCTCTGGCCATGCTGAGGCCGCGTCCCGCATACAGCAACTAGAAGGATGTGCAGCTATGACACACAACTATCTACTGGGGCTTTGGGGGGAAAAATAAATAAATAAAATCTTAAAATCCCCACTGTATTTTAAAAAAAAAAAAAAAAGAAATAGCTCTTAGCATTGTGTCTTTACAATGATGCCTGCCACCAGTCTAGAATCTTTGGTGTTTCCATGCTTCCATTAGCAGAGTTGTCCCGGTCTCCTCTGTCAATGAATGAATACTGTGTTCATGTTCTTTTTGATGGTCACAAAACACAGTAAAATTAAATACAACTAAAGTTCTTTGGCAAATAAAGCGCACTTTTAAATCATATTTCATACAAATAAGAAGAATATGTTCTTAACAGTACTTTGGAAGAAAATCATAATCTGTGTTAGGACTAGAAGTTGTTGGACACAAGGAAACTAGAAAGTATGTTTTGTTTTGTCTCTCACTGCAAACTAAAGGATCCCTCTCACCAGAGAACAGTGGACCAGAGGCCAGTGTTTGCTCCTCTTCTTTTGCCTTTTGTATTTGGGTATTTGGTCCGAACCAGTCAGAGTTAATGGAGAGACTAATTGAGGCTCCTTCCACTGATCACTTTTGGTTACCTAGGCTCCTTCCACTGATCGCTTTTGGTTACCTAGTTCTACATTCCCTTGGGGCTACAGATGTAAAATTTTTAGAAAAATTTTAACGGCAAACTTGCCCTTTTTTTCCTTATTTGTTGAAAGAAAAGGTTGTGGGTTGCTTTGGGGAATAGTAAGATCCCTTTCACTGGAAGTGTTTAAACAGCGGTAGGGTGATCATAGTGAGTAATATTTACTGGGCATTTACTGGATGTCGTTTTATCTTGATATCAGCTGTTTGAGATGAGAACTATTATTACTTATATTTTGTGTTCAGATTGGAAACTGAGGCCTAGAGAGGTTAAAAAAATGTGGATAAGTAGCAGAGATAGGAGTCAACCCTAGAAGGCCTGACTCCAGGGCCTGCATTGCTAACCACTGTTACACACTGCCTCCTCCTGAAGGTGTATGGGTGGGGATTGCTGTGTGCTTGGGAGTTGCAATAGAAGGCTTCAAAGGCTTTCCACCTCTTAAGAGACTAAGACTTTAAACTGGTGATGTTATGAGTCAGGCCTACCTCTGTCCTTATATCTACCATCCCTCAACTAGAGCCTTCTAATTGCCACCTATTTTGGCCCCGTACCCAAGGCTGAGTATCACCTGAATCTTAGAGCAGCGAGCTTCAAATTTTACATTGCATCAATGACTGTGTTTGTGTGTGTGTGGTGCGTTTTTTAAAAATTCAGATTCCTGTGGGAGGGCCAGTGTTCAGTTTCCCTTTGGGAGATGGTCTAGTAGTTCTTTAAGCAGCCTTAGCACGTTCTGAAGCACAGCATCAAGTCATCCTTGTTACTGATGGGCAGCTCCTTTGGTCTTACTTTAGGTGATAGGACTTTGCTTTGTTTCCAAGCTCATGCCCTCGGTCTATTAACTGGATTTCTCCCTGAACCCTTTCCTGAGACTCTATTCTGATAACACACCTGGTTGTCTTGTTTCTAGAACTGGGCCTGGCATCAGACCTGCAAGACTTCCTGGTAGGAATTAGGTTCTGCTGCCTGTTGGCTGGTGTATCTGAACAGTCAGATAGCTTGGATTTCCAAGTATCTTCCTGTCTCTCCTTTGCTGGGATCTCTCCATCTATTGAAACTCCTGCCACTCCACTCTTCCTGCTTAGCTACCCTGCTCCCTGCTACCCTGAGGAATACCTCCTACTCAAGTCTGAGGTAAGGGGCAGACAATTTTAAAATCTACCCTGTCCAGCCCCCTCTCCCTCTGAGGTCTCTAGGCTATAAGCCACTACTGCTTTGGAGGCATCTTTCATTCCTTTCTGGTTTGGGGCTTCTTATAGCTTCCTTTGTTGTTGGGATATAGATCAGTAGACTGGAGCACACGAAGGGCTGTTCACCTTTGCTGCTTACTTCCCTTGCTCTGTGAGTGCATTCCTGCCACTTGTGCTTGTGTGGTCTGGGGCACTGAGACCCACCGTAGGTGATGGGTAGCACCTAGTTATTATTAGACAGTGCAGTGCTGGTCTCCCATGAGTGAGAGTGACAGTGGACGTGATTCATTCATTCACTCACCCCCCCCATTCCGCAAATAATTATTGAGCATCTACTGTGTGCTTTCTAGAAGTACAGTGCTAAGTACTAGAAATACAAAGATGAACAAACATGATTTTGCTCTTAAGGATTTTAAACTCTAGTGGGTGGGAGTGAAACAGGTAAGTTCAGTACAGTGAGGTAATTCTTATGTAGGAGTATGTGAAGAGTCATGGGAGAGACAGGTAACCCATCTGGTGGTGAGTGGTACCCAAGGGGCAGCTTCCCCAAAGAGGCCTGAGCTGAGTCTTGAAGATACATTGTTACCTAAAAAATGAATTCCTCAGGGGGAAAAATGGATTGCATCAAACTCTTCCTCTCAAGTTTTTTGCATATATGTTTCATTTTGTGAAATTCATTTTATTTAATTAATTTATTTATTTGGTGAGGAGGGTTAGCCCTGAGCTAACGTCTGTTGCCAATCCTCCTCTTTTTGCTGAGGAAGATTGGCCCTGAGCTAACATCTGTGCCCATCTTCCTCTACTTTATATGTGGGACGCCACCACAGCATGGCTTGGCAAGTGATGTGTACGTCCGTGCCCAGGGTGGAACCTGTGAACCCTGGGCTGCCAAAGCGGACTGCGAGAACTTAACCACTATGCCACTGGCTGGCCTCGTGAAATTCATTTTAATGTCTCTGCTTTCCATGTGTCCCTTTGGCCTTTGCAGCTTCTGTGCCTGTTGTTCTTTGTGTAATAATTTGTATCCAAAAGGAGAAATAGTACCTATTTTCTGTTCTTAGAAGTTCTGCTGTTAAGGCTCAAAAGAAAGAGGTGTGAAAGATCAAATCATCTAGGTTAGAAGCACTTTTGTTTTGTTGGTACCCAAAATTAGGACTCTAAGATTATTGTATACTCAGAGAAGTTTTAGCAAGAAACAAGGACAAATTTGCATATGAAATGAAAGTAGTTATTACAGTGACAAAATATGTAGATCATATTTCTAGAAACTGAATTAGTGAGTCCAAAACAAATAAGACTAGGCAAATTGGTACAAAATCTTAGCTCTTGAACATTGCTGTCATCATCCAAAGTATTCTTATCTCTTAAGTGAACAATTTCCATTAGTGTTTTGTGATGTTTTAAAATTAAAGGATAGGAGGGCCGGCCCTGTGGCTTGGTGGTTAAGTGCGCGCGCTGCAATGCTGGTGGCCCGGGTTCGGATCCCGGGTGCGCATCGAGGCACCACTTCTCCCTCCATCCTGAGGCCGAGTCCCACATACAGCAACTAGAAGGATGTGCAGCTATGACATACAACTATCTACTGGGGCTTTGGGGGGAAAAAATAAAATAAATAAAATCTTTAAAATTAAAGGATAGGGGCTGGCCCGGTGGTGCAAGCAGTTCAGTGCGCAGGCTCTGCTTCAGCGGCCCGGGGTTTGCAGGTTTGGATCCTAGGTGCGCACCGACACACCGCTTGGTAAGCCATACTGTGGCGGTGTCTCATATAAAGTAGAGGAGGATGGGCACGGATGTTAGCTCAGGGCCACTCTTCCCCAAGGGGAGGATTGGCACCGGATGTTAGCTCAGGGCTAGTCCTCCTCACACACACACACAAAAAATAATAAAATAAAATTAAAAGATAGTGTAGGATTTTACATATACCAAAGGGAAAATCTAAATGCAGTATTTCAATAAAGTATATTGTTTATTTGCTTTCTTACCAGTAGATTTTTAAGTTATTTTTTTGTTGGCAATGTCTCCCTAAAATATAATCCAAACTAGTTTATGATGCAAATATTCAGACCAAAGTATGATAAGGATCTCTTTTCTGCAGCATGCTGTATATTTAAAAAATTTGTTTGTTACTTTTCTTAAATCATGATGTATTTGTTACTTACTTAAAGCAATGTTTAATTAATTCTATTAGATGTTTGCCTAGCCCCAAGTAAACATCTAAGAATTATAGTATCACATCTGATAACATATTCTGATTATAATAGATAAGACATCAGTTTTAAGCATTTGAAGATCAAGATTGGCTTTTTGGTCAATTTGCTGTCTCCGTGTTGCTAATGATAAGTAATTTCTAAGCACCATTTCAAACTTACAAATTGTCATGGCCCAATATTTGAGGGTTATTAGATCCTTATAATAAATTATTGTTTCTCTTATAAATTTAGTATCATCTCTTTTTTTATACATTCACCTAGCTTGTCTGTGGCCTACACATCCTGTTGGAAACTAAAATAAAGGGAAGACAGAGCCAGGTGAATTACTGAGTCTCAGGAAAGCCAGGGATGTGGATGTAACTGGGCTTCGGGAAAGACGGGTGGAAGTGGGGCTGGAAAACCCTAGGGAGTCCAGGTAGCATATGTTGTCTGTCTCCTTTCTCTGCTTCTCTGTGTATCTTTTAAAATCTTTCCTGTCTGACTGCTGGCTCATGTATTCCTCAGTTCACAGGATGGAATATGGTCTGAGTTTACTGGTCTAGGCACAGGGAGAGACATCTCTCCCTCTTGGTGTCAATTCCTGGAGAGGGGAACCATGACCAGGTTTGGGTCAGATGCCCATCCCCGGTTGGGCCTGGAGGGCAGAGTTCCACAGTGGCTGCAGGGGACTAACTCTGCATGCGTTCGTGCGTCATTATGAGCTTAGTACACTCTACAGGAGATATCCACTGCATTCCTCTAGGTTATTGTCTTACCCCATCTTAGAAAGTTATGGGGAAGAGGAAGGGTAAAGGTTGGTTGAGTAGAGGGCTCTTTCATCATAACCATATGAGGAAAAAGAACCCTGTTGCCTCTAAGACATTTTGATTTAATATTTCATTTTCTTTGTAACAGGTTAGTGGTTACTTGGATGATTGTACCTGTGATGTTGAAACCATTGATAGATTTAATAACTACAGGCTTTTCCCAAGACTACAACAACTTCTTGAAAGCGACTACTTTAGATATTATAAGGTATTTTTATTTTTAATTTTTTGTATATGAATGCTTAAAGTTTAAATGGATAATTACATTTGGGAATTACTAAGCTTCAAAATTGTGGCTGAAACCACTCACTGGATACTTTTAATTTCAATAAATGAGTTTTGCACTCTGGAATTAGAAACTGGTTGGTTAAATTGAAGTCAGAAAAGAAACTATTATATTGTTATCAAAATTGTGAGTTCATAATTTTCTAAAACGTCAGATTGACTCCAATTAATAAAAATTAAATTAAATATTTTTGAAAAGAAGTGAGACTTTATTCTGACCTATATTATTTTATTTTATCAAGTCCCTTGTGATGTTTTATATTGAGATATTTACTGAAAGAGTTTACTGATCATTGGGATATGTAGTTATAGTCTGAGTTCACGATTGTCTAACTGTTATTTGCTTAAAAAGAATATCAGTTGAGCAGTGATGATGTGAGTTGCTTTGGCTCCTAGTTGCCATCTCTTCAGGGTCTGTTTAGTAGCAGTCTCTGTCTTTCTAACCCATCTGCCAGTTTACTTGTACCAGCTACACGCTTATACAGTCACTGGAGCTTGACAGCTGATAAGGGGAAGACATAGAGTAACTGCAGCTGATAACATGACCAAGTTATGGCATCATAATTATAATCTCGAAATTCTTATTTTTATAACTTTTTCTGTTATTATCTTACAGGTAAATCTGAAGAGGCCGTGTCCTTTCTGGAATGACATCAGCCAATGTGGAAGAAGAGACTGTGCTGTCAGGCCTTGTCAATCAGTAAGAACCACACTTAAGAACTGTTACATCTCTCTTCAAATAATTTTAGCTTTTTAAGAGGGGCCAATGTAACTAAAGCAATATTTCCATCCTTAGGTTAAGTATAATGTTGTTTAATATTTACGTATTAAAAATCTAAACTTAAAAATATAAAACCTATTTTGAATTATTCTGCATTCATAATAATAGAATTTGAACTTTGTGGTTAATATAATCGTTTGACTTATTAGTGAGATTAATAGTTCTTTTGGCTGGATATTTGTTTTTCTTCTTACATCTTATCCAAACAAAGTTATGTTTATAGTATAATAAAATGAAATTGATTAAGTTACAAAAAAATCCCTCTCCTTTTTTGTGGGTATATTATTTTCCTTGGATTTTCTTGGGTGAGGAGGAGTTTCTAAGTAAAACCCCTGGTTTTACTTAGAAATTCTCAGAGCATTAAAATTTGAAGTGTTCTGCTCTGAAAGCAGAGAATTTTATACTTTTCAGTGAAGCCCTTTTTTTCCTTTAAAAGTATATATTTTTGTTTTACTTTTTAAATTGTGATAAATATATACATAACATAAAATTTATCATTTTAACCATTTTTAAGTGTACAGTTCATTGGCGTTAAGTACATTAACATTGTTGTGTTACCATCACCACCATCCATCTCCAGAAATTTTTCATCTTCCCAAATTGAAACTCCACCTCATTAAATAATAATTCTTTACTCCCCTGCCCTCTAGCCCCTGGTAACCACTATTCTACACTATGAATTTGACTACTCTAGGTACCTCCTATAAGGGGAATCATTACAATATTTGTCCTTTTGTATCTGGCTTATTTCACTTAGCATAATGTTTTCAAGGTTTATCCGTATTGTAGCATGTATTACAGTTTTATTCCTTTTTAAGGCTGAATAATATTCCACTGTATGTGTATACTACGTTCTGTTTATACATTCACCTATTGATTGACTTCTGGGTTGTTTCCATCTTTTGGCTATTGCGAATAATTCCTCTGGGAATATGGGTGTGCAAATATCTGTTTGAGTCCCTACTTTCACTTCTTTTGAGTGTATAACCAGAAGTGGAATTGCTGGATCATTTAGTAATTCTGTGTTTAATTTTTTGAGGAATGCCATGCTGTCTTCCACAGTGGCTGCACCATTTTACATTCCCACCAGCAATGCACAAGGGTTCCAATTTCTCCACATTCTCACTAACACTTGCTGTTTTCTGTTTTTTGGATAATAGCCATACTAATGGGTGTGACGTGGTAGTGTAGTTTTGAGCAGTTTATTTTTATACATGTAAATATTGCTATATAGACCTATCTAGCATGTGGAATTAAGGCAAATGTAAAGTATTCTTTATGGGTATATTATCATTAGATGAGTGAGAATCATGTTTTTAATTATATTAATCCTCATAGACACAGCTTTTTGAAAATTCAAGGATTAACTTGTGAAGCACCTTATGTTGCTATGATTAAAGCATGAGCATATCATTAAAGTGATATTATCAATTTAAATGTTTCATTTTATTTCATAAGTTCTAGCATTTATATTTAGTAGTAGGAAAAAATTAGTTGGGGAAATTCAAATTTACCAATAACTTATTTATATGACTTACTAAACATGCTAAAAATATGGTACTTAATTTTTTAAACAGGCCTTTAATTGCACTCTTTAATTACATAGGCTATTACTAACATTAGTCAGAACAAGCAAATAGTTTCACAATTATTGCAAATTTGAATCTCATCTTGAAACAGCAGTTATTTCTGATTATTGTTAATGAAGGATAGGACTAGGGGATGCCACCTTGGGAAGAAGATTGGAGGGGATAGAAAACCTGAGAGATGTTTAGCGTGAAGTAATAGCTTATTGATTCCCAGGTTGACACACTGATGGATGAGACCTATTTTATTGTAAATCCTAGACAAAACAACCAGTTTTAGCATTTAAGAAATGCTAAAACATAGATGCTTATTTGACTTGAACCCATAGAAATGCTAAAAAAGAATCAGATGAAAATTAACAATTTGTACTGAGAAACTGAGACAGAATCTAGTTATTTCACCTTCTGCAGAAGTGGAGCAGAGTGCCTTTCATGCCAGTACTCTATTTTTTTGTTGAGCTAGTTTCACGATAGAGAGAAGGCTTAAAAGATAATTAGAAGATGTTTATCCACTTAAAAGTGTTCTTATATATGTCAGTGTAGCAGAAGTGCCGTGATTAGACCCAAGGTTTAGGAAATTAACTGGAAATATTGTGGAGATGGGGGAGTGGAAGATGAGGAGATGGAGAAGAGGCTAGTAAAGGAATATCACTTAAGAGTTGAGTATAATTTGGTTCAATAATGAATATTTTTTGAGGGCCTACTATGTGCCAGGACCTGGGCATATAAGATGAGTGTTTATCTTGAGAAGCTTATGGTTTAGCAGGGGAGAGAGACACTAAGTGATCATTTCACTACAAATGTGCTAGCCCGATAATAGAGATACACTGCAGGTGTGCACATTGTGGAAGCAGAGGGGAAGGGAGAGCAGAGGAGGGAGACGTGGAGAAACTCCACTCCAAGTGACAAGGAAGAGAGGAACCGTTTACATTCCTCTTGGGACAAGCCTGGGCTCAGTTCTAATTGTTCCTAAATAGAGCAGTCTGTCAGAAACAAATAGTGATTAAAATACTTTGAAATAGCTGCTTCAGCCTAAATAATCAGCTTTCATAGCTAGCACTTATATTGTGCATTGCTGGTGTCTTGATATCTCACTATTGTATACTTAAGTATGCATCTGAGAAGAAGGATATTAATTCCTGAACACAGTGCAGTTATCACACCAAAACAATAATCTTTCTTAACTTAATATGTGTATAAGGTTAAACACAATTAACTCACTACTTCAGATGATCTTGTGCAGTTTTGTTAATACCTTTTTTGCTAAACAAGGAACCAAGACCAGTTTCCTTTTTTTTTTTTAATTTTATTTATTTATTTTTCCCCCAAAGCCCCAGTAGATAGTTGTATGTCATAGCTGCACATCCTTCTAGTTGCTGTATGTGGGACACGGCCTCAGCAAGGCCGGAGAAGCGGTGTGTCGGCGCGCGCCGGGGATCCGAACCTGGGCCGCCAGCAGCGTAGCGCACGCTCTTAACCACTAAGCCACGGGGCCGGCCCCCAGTTTCCTTTTTGTCAACACTTTGATTTCCCTTTTTAGTTCAATTTTAGACTCGGTTCAGGTAACACCCTGGCACCCAGCAGGAGACAGAAAAAAAAAATTGAAATTCTCTTCCTCATATTTGGTGCTTTAAAATCCACATCCTTTGATTTCCACCTGATTCCAGAGCATATTTGAATGAGGCAGTTGGTCTGCCCCAGAGACTGGACTCTCCCTATAAACTGAAAGACCAATTATTTATTCCCTGTACAATGAATCACAACAACGTTCTTTCACCTCCGTTATTAATTGGCCTATGTGAAAAAGAATAACAATATCCAGTGTTAGTCTGGGAATCAGAAATGAACACTCTGGTGGTAAGTCTTTTTGGGGATCAATTCAGCAAATGTATCAAAAAAATTGAAAAGGGACGTATCCTTTGACCTAGCAGGTCAGTACTGAATATTGTAATGATGTCAGTTCTGCTGAAATTAGTCTATAAATTTGGCATGGTTTATTATATGAAACAATTAGAAACCATTTAAATCTCTGGCCATAGAAGAAGAGTATACATTGACCTAATTTGAAGTCTGGGAGGGTACAAATAAAGTTATTGTCTCAGCGTGGGTCCTTCCCTTGGGGCAGGCGTAATGTATTTCAGGAATATACTTAGCATTGGAATAGGGCCCTGCAATTTACAGAGTTCTCCTCCTTACGTCATTATCTCTACTCACAGCATCACTTTGAGGATACGCAGATAGGTCCTGTAGTTAGTATGTGGCCAACACAAGACTGAAAACCAGCACCGTTTTCCTCTGAAAAGAACTAGGGCTCCTTAAAATATGGTTGATTGCAAGACTGGAACAAGAAATATACAAGATTTGCTTATAGTATCTTGTCATAACAGAAAACAAAAATGCTGCTAAAGATTCCTAGGGTAATATCAACAGGACACAGGTGCAAATGTCACATCAGCACTTAGTGGGTCCCCTCGTGGCCAAATGTGGGACAGTTTGAGCGTCAGAAGGAGTAATAGCTAAGTGACTATTTTTACATTTCCGTGCTGTAATACAATATACGATCAGCAATCTGTAGAATAATTTGTGTTGAATTTTTTGTTTACTTTTGAGAAATAATATAAAAACTGCCAAACTATTCTCAGTTTAAAAATAATCTAACTTCAATAATTTGTTTTATGAGTTTTTCTCATAAATGATAGAAATTTAAGATATTTTTTCAGAGCCAGTTCTGATGGCCTAGTGGTTAGAGTTCGGGGTGCTCTGCTTCAGTGGCCCAGGTTTGGTTCCTGGGCTTGGAATCACACCACTCGTCTGTCAGTAGCCATGCTGTGGTGGTGGCTCACGTAGAACTAGAAGGACTTACAACTAGAATATACAACCACGTATACTGGGGTTTTGGAGAGGGGGGAAAATATATATATTTTTTCAGAAGATAGAATAAATGTCATATAAAGCATTTTTTTTGCTTTTTCAGGATGAAGTTCCTGATGGAATTAAATCTACGAGCTACAAGGTATGTACATATACTTATTAATGTTTCTAGTATCTTAACAAAAAACTTGAAAAAGTCCTTACCCTTGCCAGCTGTACCCCACTTCTTTGCTGCCCTTTGCAGTGAAACCCCTTGAGAGGTACTTGTACTCAGTGGCTCCCATTCTTCGTTTGTTCTTTTGTTCAATCTTTATTTATAGAAAGCATGAAAGATAAATAAAAGTAGAGAAAATAAAATCACCCAGCTTCAGCAGTTATCAGTGTATGGTCAATCTTGTTTTATCTGTACCTCCCACTTCATTCTCCCAATTATTTTGAAGCCAAACTCAGATAAATCATTTTGTTTAAATACTTCATATACATCTCTAAGACAAAAAGACACTTAGAAAAATAATCTCAATCAGGGTTCACATTTCTCTAGTTGTCTCATAAGTGCCTTAATAGTTTGTTTGAAACAGGATTCAGACTTATTCCACACATTGCATTCGGTTCTGTGTCTCTTCTCTCTCTTCCTCTCTCTCTTCTTTAATAAATTTTTAATTTTATAATGTTTTTAGTTTACAGAAAAATTGTGAAGATAGTACAGAGTTCCCCTATACTCCACACCTGGTTTTCTCTATAATTAACATCTTATATTAGTATGGTACGTTTGTTACAATAATGACCCCATATTGACACATTATCTCTAACTGAAGTCCATACTTCATTCAGATTTCCTTAGTTTTCTACCTGATGTCCTTTTTGTGTCCCAGCATCCCATCCAGGATACACGTTACATTTAGTAGTCACATTTCCTTAGGTTCCTCTTTTTTTTTTTTTTTTTGTGAGGAAGATCAGCCCTGAGCTAACATCCATGCTAATCCTTCTCTTTTTGCTGAGGAAGACCGGCTCTGAGCTAACATCTATTGCCAATCCTCCTCCTTTTTTTTTTCCCCAAAGCCCCAGTAGATAGTTGTATGTCATAGTTGCACATCCCTCTAGTTGCTGTATGTGGGACGCGGCCTCAGCATGGCCGGAGAAGTGGTGCGTCAGTGTGCGCCCGGGAACTGAACCCGGGCCGCCAGTAGCAGAGAGCGTACACTTAACCACTAAACCGTGGGGCTGGCCCACCTTAGGTTCTTCTTTGCTGTGACAGTTTCTCAAACTTTCTTTGTTCACCATAAGGTGTTTTTAAGGAGTACTAGTCAGGTATTTTGTAGAATGTCCCTGAGTTGGGATTTTGATGTTTTTCTCATGATGAGATTGGGGTTATGTGTTTTTGGGAGGAGGACCACAGAGGTAGAGTGCCGCTTCCATCACATCGTATCAAGGGTTCTTGCTGTCAACGTGGCTGACCACTGCTGATGTTGACCTGGATCTGAGGGCATTCTTGTCAGGTTTCTCCACTGTAGATTTACTCTTTTTCGCCCTTGCTATACTGTATTCTTTGGAAGTCGCTTTGCACAGCTTACACTTAAGGAGTGCTTCATCTCTTTGAGGATATAAATTGTTTGAAATTCTTCAGTATAGGAGATTTGTATCTTCTCCCTCCATTTACTTGTTTATTCAATCATTTATTTATATCATGGGTGTTTATCTTATACTTTGGATTATCATTCAGTGCTACTTCATTTTGTTCCTCAAATTGCTCCCGTTTTGGCTATTGGGAGCTTTTTCAGTTGTGTTCCTTTGACATACCACCATCATTTTGGTTTTTTTCTTTTTTCTTTAGCCCTTTTTCTTTTCTTTTTTTTTAGCCCTTCCTTACTTTCTGGTACTACTTGTAAATTTCCTACTCTTAAGTTGCTTTTAATCTGTGTCCATTCCCCACCCCCCCCACCCCCCGCCTTTTGTCTTTCTTTGCCACTTATGTGTTGAAGGAAATGAGTCATTATCCTATAGAATTTCCCACGTTATATATTTGTTGATTGTATCTCTGTCATGTCATTTAACATATTTCTCCACTGTCTTTAATTTCCAGAAACTGGTAGTTAGGTACTAAGGCTTAATCAAATTCAGATTCATTTTTTAGAAAAATTTATTTATTTATTTTCTGCTTTATTGAGGTGTAATTGACAAGTAAAATTGTCAGATATTTACAGTGTACCTCGTGATGATTTGATGTACATGTACATTGTGAAAGGATTTCTGCCATCTAGTTAATTAACTCATCTATCATCTTACATAATTATCTTTTTCTTTTGGTGAGGACATTTATATCCTACTCCCAGCAAATTTCAGTTGTACAATACAGTGTTATCAACTGTAGTCACCACATTATACGGTAGATCCTCAGACCTTATTCATCTTAGAGCTGAAAGTCTGTACCCTTTACCAACCCCTCCCAATTTCCCCGACCCCCCAGACCCTGGCAACCACTTTTATACTCTGTTTCTATGAGTTTGGTTTAAAAAAACAAAAAAATTCCACATATAAGTGATACCATGCGGTATTTGTCTTTCTGTCTGACTTATTTCACTTGGCATAATGCCCTCAAGGCCCATCCATGTTGTAGCAAATGGCAAGATTTCCTTCTTTCTCATGGCTGAATAATATTCCGTTGTGTGTGTGTGTGTGTGTGTGTCTGTGTGTACGTGTGTATATATATGCCACATCTTCTTCATCCTTTCACCCATTGACAGACACTTCAGTTGTTTCCATATCCTGGCTGGTGTGACTAACGCTGCAGAGGGCATGGAAGTGCAGCTCTCTCTGATGTCGTGTTTTCATTTCCTTTGGAGATATACCCGGAAGTGGGATTGCTGGGTCATATGGTACTTCTATTTTTAATGTTTTGAGGAACCTCCATAAACGAAAAGAAACAATTTTTGCTTTTGGGTCAGATCCAAAAAATCATTGCCAAGACCAATGTCAAGGAGCTTACCCCCTATATTTTCTTCTAGGAGTTTTATGGTTTCAGGTCTTAAATTTAAGTTGATTAAATTTCAGATCTTTTGAGTTGATTTTTGTGTATGGTATAAGATAGGGGTCACTTTTATTCTTTTGCATGTGGCTGTCCATGTAGTTAGATATTAAGGTTTATCAGATTCATTTTTTGATATATATTTATTGGAGTTGCTGTGTACTTATTAATCATATCAGGAGACACATAATGTCTGGTTTTCTCTTTTTTTATGATGTTAAGATTGATCATTAGGTTCATTACACATTCATTATAAAGTTTTCTACTAGCTTTTTACCCCAAAGTTTTAGCAGCTTTGATGATTATTACCTAGTTGCATTATTTTATTAGAGGCTTGAAAATGTTGATATTCTAATTCTATCCTTCTTTCATTTGTTTATTTTTTTCCCCCCAAAGCCCCATGAGATAGTTATATGTCATAGCTGCACATCCTTCTAGTTGCTGTATGTGGGACGCGGCCTCAGCATGGCCAGACAAGTGGTACGTCAGTGCGCGCCCGGGATCCGAACCCGGGCCGCCAGCAGCGGAGTGCGCACACTTAACCGCTAAGCCACGGGGCCGGCCCTATCCTTCTTTCTATACTTGCTGTTTGTTATTATTCTATAAAGACCTTTTTTTGTCAACTATTTAGATCCCCTGAAATACAGTTTATGCAGGACAGATGCCATAAATGCTTCATTCTTTTTCTTTGTTCATCAGCTTTCAGAATAATTATGAGTTGGTGCCCCAGCACCTTCCAAAGGTGCCCAATAAATTCTTTCTTTTTAAGTGTTATTATGAACTTAGGAGTTTTGACATGTTTAATGTATTGGAATCTACTGTAGTTGTTTAGTCATTATTCCCTTTGATGTTTGAGTTGTTCCATCTTTGGCCACTAGGAGCTCCTTCAAGTTAGCAGCTGTGGCCTTTTGAGATGATCCCAGTAGTCTGAGTAGACTTTTTACTTTCTATTGTGAAAAGATGTTCTGGGCCTAGTTCGTACCTTTTTTGCATTAGTCTTGGAAATAATCATTTTCCTAAGGAGCCCTAGTTCTTTCAGTGGTGTTTAGAGATTATAATCTGGGCCCTAGAGGTGCTAATTGTTACTGGGTTGTCATTGTTTCAGGGCTGTTTTGGTGGAGAAAACCAATTTGTGATTACAGTGTTTTAAAATATGCCCAGAATCTTACAATCTTTATTGCTCCTGCTGTATTTCAAGCCATCATCACTTTTTGCCTGGATTATTGCAGTAGCCTCTTCAATGATCTGCCTACTTCTACCATTGCATCTCTACAGTCTCTTCTAAAGACAGCAGCCAGAGTTATTTTTTTCAAGAAGGAAATCAGATTGTATCTCTCCTTTGTTTAAAATCCTCCTATGTGCCCTGTCTCTCTTGGAGTAAAACCCAAAGCCTTTAGAGAAGAAAAAGAGTAAATCGAGGAACCATATACCAAGGTTTGCCTGGGACAGAACTGGTTTATGCCTATGGTCTGGCATCCTGTCTAGTTTATCATTTGTCCTGAGTTTTTAATTTTTTAAATAAAATATATATATATATATATATTTTTGAGGAAGATCAGCCCTGAGCTAACATCCATGCTAATCCTCCTCTTTTTGCTGAGGAAAACTGGCTCTGAGCTAACATCTATTGCCAATCCTCCTCCTTTTATTTTCCCCCAAAGCCCCAGTAGATAGCTGTATGTCATAGTTGTACATCCTTCTAGTTGCTGTATGTGGGACACGGCCTCAGCATGGCTGGAGAAGCAGTGCGTCGGTGCGCGCCCGGAATCCGAACCCGGGCCGCCAGTAGCGGAGCGCGAGCACTTAACCGCTATGCCACAGGGCCGGCCCTTTAAATAAAATATTAACAGTTGCATTAAAATAAGTTAGGAAGGATTTGGTTGACCAAATACTTTGTATTTCTAGCTTCATCTGTCTCCTTTCTTATATTTGAAGTGTATGTACGCTAAACAGTTCTTACTTGAACGCACAGATGACCAATAATAATTTGTTTTTCTTTTTCTGACCTTTTCTAGATGTAAATAAACTAAACCTCTCTTTCAAAGAAAATATACCAGGTGCCTGCTGAGAAAGTGATTGTGGTCAGACACAACTAGCTAGAGACAGCTCACTCCTGACAG